GGGCCACACGGGGTACACCCGCGGGCCACATTTGGCCCACCAACCTTGTGTTTGACACATGTCTTATGGCATAAACTATTTTTGACATTACAAGGAGTATATTTAAGTTAGTAACAATAAAATTACAGAAAGACAACAAAATTATTGTATCTAATATAGGGGTGCACCAATAAGTTGGCCGGCATAGATTTCCTTAATTTTGGGAGATAAGAGATTGGCCTATAAATGGCTTTAACTTATCCAGCGCTTGTTCAAATCTACACAGATTCCTAAGCGCTTTACACTTCAATCATTTACACACTAATGGTAGTTATAATGCAGCCACAGCTGCCCTAGGGGCTCACTGACAGAKGTGATAATTTACTCTATGTTTACGATAATGTACTGTTCTTACATGAGAAGCCAATCTTTTCCACTGATCTCATCTACGTCCACAAAGGTCTGAAAATCTGCGACTGACCCCCTTTGCCCTGCTGTGAGCACTACCTAATGTTTAGTTAAAACAAGTTTGTATTGTTTCAAGGGTATTGTTCAATGTATTTCAATAAAACAACATTGAAACATTGATAGTGTATTGTAAGCATAACACCCGACAGTGTCTGTTCTTTAAAAAAAAAAATCAGAATCTGCAGTTCAGATTTTTTTTAAAGATTGGTGACTGGCCACAAAACTGCAAYCGGTGCACCCCTAATCCTAACCTTTTGGTATTCTGACACGTCCGTGTCCATCTGAACACATGTCCTTACATGGACATGATAATCAGATCACATTCATGATATTTATTATATAATGATTATAATTATTTAATAATGTTATATAGAGCTAAACACAAGAAGCAACCTGAATGTTTAATAAAAACTGAACAGTGGTGGTATCACCCAGTATTCTTGTTTGTACTGGAATTAGTTTTTCTGTAGTATTTGTACCTTGCTGTACGACGGGAGGGTGATGTTGAGGTTACATATGGCGTTTTGGGTCAGTGACCTGTAGTTCCTGGGTTCTTTCATAAAAGACAATCGGCCACACGGCTCCTGAGTGTTGTCCCGAATCTACAAATCCAGACAGTTCACAAAGAACACACGTACAAAGTGAGATCATTTTATTATACACAGATCCATCATTCTGTGCTGTAAAAATAAATAAAAACTCTTACTTTGATGAAAAGGGCTAGTCTGTTTTCTTTAAAGGCATAAAAGCTGAAAAGATGGTGCTGGCCACTTTTAGTGAGAGGAACAAGGTTTCCAAAGCAGTCTGCATAGATYGGCTTTCCTTCCAGAACCTTTAAAGAACAGAGTTTTCACATTTACAGTGTAAAACAAAAGTCATTTTCAGGCCTTACATTTCTTTAACCATCAAATCTGCCTCTTCGTGTTCAGAGAAATGAGAGTTTACAAAGTTTAAAAAGTTTAGTTTACCTGYCAGATCAGTTTWTTTAAAGAGCACATATAAAAWTTTTGAWTAAATYAAAAATAACTGCTGYTGGACAAAGTTTTGCACACTAAACAATAAATAGTAAAATAATAAAATTGAACTCAAGAGATCGTATGAAAAAGAAAAAAAAAATATTAGAATGAAGCAAAATTATGAACTCTCATGTTGTTTTAAAAACCGATGAGTACAGATGGGTTTTAAGACAAGACTCAAAACCTCAAAAGTCTGCCTGATATGAAGGGCCAGAGACCTGATCACCTCTGCGGACCAGCCTGGACCAGCCTTGACCTCAGGACAACTAAAGACCTGAACTCTGTAATAGTTGGATGATTCCAAATATAAACTTATTAAATTATTGGCCCATTGATGAATGGTGGAGTTTCAGGCAGCAGATGTTTTGCTTCTCAGAAACGTTCTTACGTTCTTCCTTCTCACCTCTACATCCCGGCTGCGTGCCACCTCAGTGAARTTCTCCTGCTGCTCCAGGGTTTTATCTATCTTGTCATCGGTCATGCAGAAACATCGTAGCCGAGCTTCAATGGGGTCATGGGATTTGGCAAAAATGACAAACTTGGCCATGTACGGGACACAAATAATCTCTCTGTACACCTGAGTGGAGAAGTTGACAGACTCCTGGACTTGACGACAGTCTATGAGCCAGAACCTGTTGATCAGAAGAATGAGGGTGCTTAGATGTTTGAAGCTGCTCAAGTTAACAGGGGTTGTGTAATAATTGTGCTTCGACAGAAGATTGTATTGACCTTGCAGACACATTGGTGGTGAAGGAGACACAGTCATTGATGAAGGTTAAAGGGGTTGTTCCAGTTATATCCTCCCACTGAGCTGGAGTTGTTCCACCTAAACATGTACACACAGAGAATATTAATATTTAAATGTAAGTTAAGGTTCTGATCTATGCAGATCTGTGACTGAGTGTTCTCTAACCAGTTATACTACAGAGCAGTCGTAATGTAGGTGTGTCCCCTCCAAATCCATTGAGGACTGGATCAGCGTTGCTCTTGGGGATGGGGATGGTCATGGTGATGGGTTTATGGAACTTTCTTCTGCGAGGCTCCAGAGTGACAATTGGGCTGAAGGTGGCCTTGTTACCAAGGATCTTCCTCACTACATCCACAGTCACTGGCTGAGCCTGGAAATACAGACAGAAYACAACAGATTTACTCTTTGAGAGCATTAAAGTAGACGTATGATGCTTTAAATCCTTMTTTTCCACATTTAAATTATTCCGTTGGGGTCTATAGAAAGTGGAACTGTAATAACTAGTTTGAATTTCTTGTTATTGTAGCTCCATGGGCACCTCTGTCGTCACTTTTCTGAGGCTGAATGTAAATGATGCACTCCATGTGASTTTGTATAACATTTCTCAGTGGTGGAACTGTGGCTGYCATTCTGCACCTACACTCCCTCCAGACCACCACAATCACACAAACACATTCATACATGAAGCTGGGTTCAGTGTCTTGCCCAGAGACAACAGTATGCACTCAGGGAGAGGTTTCAACCAGTGAAGCTCTGGTTGCAAGGTGAACACCTACCCCCTGCACCACTGAAATCTAAAATTTTCTAATTATAACACTTTTAMAACAACTGTCAGCTCATTTAGTCTCTACATACATTTAAAGTCTTAAATACTCTAACGCAGGTCTTATTTATCTGAATTCCTTGGTTGTTCTCGCCTCACCAAGCATATAACTTCTCCAAGATMTATTCCATTCTGCATTATCAGTWATGGTGACCCCAACGTGATGGATCATCTTGAATAGCAGAGAACATAGGATTTTARTTTTTGACTGCTGTTGAAGAGCCTGAAAAGATTTTGAAACATCAACTGCTGAGAACGAGGACAGCTAAGCTTTTGAGATGCCTCCTTTTTTATCCAAAGAAGATTTCTGCTAGCTTCTCCAGAAGGTGACGGTGTTAGAGCTTAAAATTCATTGTCTAGAGGAATGAATCAAAGYAACACTATGAGTCTGTTTTTGATGAAGGAATGACATTATAACATGATATAAAGCTAAAAAAAATCCCTTTTGAATAGAACACCCATTAAAGCTCATGGTCAGCTCCTTCTACACAAATAATAGATTGTCAAGCTTCTCTAGAACTCTGACATTCTCTAGCTTCACAATGACAAATCTGCAATGATCCATCCATCAATTCTCTGAACCCACTTGATCTTCAACACATCAGACCAGGAAGATCATCTCTGCTGCCATGAATCATAAACAAGACTCCCCACCAACAAAACCCTGTTGTCTGCAAATATCGGAGTTAATGGAACAGTGTGTAACATTTAGGCATATCTTTTTGTAGATTTTAAAACAATCACTAATAAAAGTGATTACAAACACATCTAATCATCAAAAACTAAGAARTCGGTGGTGGGCGCAGGTCGACACTGGTCGAGGCCGCCATTTTGCACCGTAGTAGCTCGGAAAGGACGAACAAAAGGCTAGTAATATGACAACTAATGACAAACTAGCCACTAAACTTTAGTAATAAATGAAAACTAAAATAATTTTACAAATTACATTTCCTAAATTTCTAATAAAATTAATCACTTCAAACATCACTATTACTAAAGCTGCTATTAGACATCGTGTTCAGGAGCATCAAAGATTTATGACACCTGACGGCCACTGTAGAGACTCACTTGTGTTTGGGAGGGTTGTGGAATGATCTTTTGTTTGGTTGCAATAAGGGACTGTATACACCTCAAACTGGATAACATACATGGGACAGAACCAGAGGAGTCCAACTTGCACCAGGAACAAGCTCAACTCTGTGTCCTGAATGAAACATAGCTTTAGCTACACAGACTGCCTCGTCCTTACAAGTTTCCCCAACTCCACATCCTTACCACCAACAAAATAACTTGAATATAGTTGTAAGCCTTCTCCAGACCATATACCAGATGTAGACAGTCAAACTCACTTAGCAACTCTGCAAGGATGAAGATATGGTCCACGGTTTCTCATGTGTCCAACATACAGTGTGTTATAACTGAACTCATTAGTAAATCTTCATAAGTCATAAAACCCATGTGGACTGGATACTTTGGATCAATGGTTTTAGAGTATTTTTGTAAATTACCTGCAGTCCAACTCTGATCCTCTTGGTGAGCGCCCCCTCAGGAAACACCGCCTGCACTTGTGGCACAACGGTGCTGCTTAGGATGCCTCCCTCAGGACCGATGAAATTATTGTCCTGCTTAATGCGTGACACCACAGCAAAGTATTGTGGGAAGTCCCTCGTGATTATTCGACAGATGCGTTTCCTCTCCAGCTCCTCGGGCATGTCCAGCTCTGCATACACAACAGAGGTGCACAGATCAGGATACGCAGTGTTAAAGATGCTCTTCTGTCTGGTTAGTGTTGCAGGTCCCACACAGACTGACCCTCGTCCATGCCGTTCAGTATTTGGTTCAGCTCCTCCGGGGTGTGTTCACACTGATGCTCCTTCCAGTTCTCTCCTGTCTCACTTCTAAGGATCACCAGCTCCCGCTCTCTCCCCCGGAGGGAGGCAAAGTGGGGGATTTCAACGATCACAGGGCTGGAGACAGGGTAGGGATTAGCAGTCAGTAAAACCTTAATTATGTCAGTTTTTGTACMTATCTTAGTCAAGATAATTTCTAACTTCAGAAGTATCTTTTGATTATTTGTAAAATTATAATTAAAATGCTCAACATGTTCACATTAGTGCAATTCTATGTAAAATACAGCGGGTAAAATAAGTATTGAACACGTCACCATTTTTCTCAGTAAATATATTACTAGAGGTGCTAATGACATGAAATTTTCACCAGATGTYKGTAACAACCCAAGTGATCCATACATACAAAGAAATCAAACCATAAATGTCCAGAAATGAAGTTATTTGTAATAATGTGGAATGGCACAGGGAAAAAGTATTGAACACACTTACTGAAATTTATCTAATACTTTGTACAAAAGCCTTTGTTGTCAATGACAGCTTCAAGATGCCTCCTGTATGGAGAAACTAGTGGCATGCATTGCTCAGGTGTGATTTTGGCCCATTCTTCCACAAACAGTCTTCAAATCTTGAAGGTTTCGTGGACCTCTTCTATGAACTCTGATCTTTAGTTCTTTCCATAGATTTTCTGTTGGATTCAGGTCAGGTGATTGGCTGGGCCATTCCAGCAGCTTTAGTTTCTTTCTCTGAAACCAACTGAGAGTTTCCTTGGCTTTGTGTTTGGGCTCATTGTCTTGCTGAAATGTCCAGCCACGTTTCATCTTCATCATCCTGGTAGATGGAAGCAGATTTTTATCAAGAATGTCCCTGTACATTTTTCCACTCATCCTTCCTTCAATTATTTGAAGTTTGCCAGTACCATATGCTGAAAAACAGCCCCACACCATGATGTTCCCACCTCCAAASTTCACTGTTGGTATGGTGTTTTTGGGCTGATGTGCAGTGCCATTTGACCTCCAAACATGATGTGTATTCTGGCATCCAAACAGTTCAATGTTGGTCTCATCTGACCAGACTATATTCTCCCAGTATTACACAGGCTTGTCTAAATGTTGTGCAGCAAGCTTTAAAGGAGCTTCAACATGCTGTTTCTTCAGCAGTGGAGTCTTGCGTGGTGAGCGTGCATACAGGCCATGGTGGTTCAGTGCATTACTTATTGTTTTCTTTGAAACAAACGTACCTGCTAATTCCAGGTCTTTCTGAAGCTCTCCACAAGTGGTCCTTGGCTCTTGGACAACTCTTCTGATAATTCTTTTCACTCCTCTGTCAGAAATCTTGCGAGGAGCATCTGGTCGTGGTCAGTTTATGGTGAAATGATGTTCTTTCCACTTCTGAATTATGGCCCCAACAGTGCTCACTGGAACCTTCAGAAGTTTAGACATTCTTCTGTAACCGATGCCATCATTATGCTTTGCAACAATAAGGTTGTGAAGGTCTTGAGAGAGCTCTTTACTTTTACCCATCATCAGATGGTTCTTGTGTGATACCTGGCCATCATTTGGGACTGAACCAGCTGATATTAACTTGCACTGACAAGGGGCAGGCTTGCTTTCTAATTACTGAGAGAGTTCAGCTGGTGTCTTGGCTTTCCATGCCTTTTTACACCTCCCTTTCTTCATGTGTTCAATACTTTTTCCCTGTGCCATTCCACATTATTACAAATAACTTCATTTCTGGACATTTATGGTTTGATTTCTKTGTATGTATGGATCACTTGGGTTGTTACCRACATCTGGTGAAAATTTCATGTCATTAGCACCTCTAGTAATATATTTACTGAGAAAAATGGTGACATGTTCAATACTTATTTTACCCGCTGTAAATACACAACTAGAGATGAAATATAATGTTTTAAATCCAACATCCTCGTGTCTAACACGTCCYGGTACATGAGCGGGTTCTGTTGGAGGTTCTGGTAATGTAGTGAGTTCTTCCTCTGCAGTGTGAACAAACAGCCTCTCCATGTTCAGAACATAAAACACAGGAAGTCAAAGTAAAGATCCATCAGTGTCTTTAGCTAAGATACTTCTGACAAATTGGTATAAGTGAAAATAAAGACAATGAAAAAAATGATGAACATAACTGAGAACAGCTGAACTCGTTGAAGGCCCTGTCACACTGGACAACTTATGAACATTTTAAAGACATCTACATTGAAGATGGAATTGAAAAAATCAACAGGAAGCTTCTTTTTGGTGTACRTAATGTAATTCTGACAAATTTATCAAATATATAACTTTTATTAGCAATTTAGACGTAAAAACATGTTTCATAAGTTGGCATAAGTTGTGTAGTGTGACTGGGCTTTTAGAACAGTTATGAAAGATGTTTACGTGAACGTTATCTCACGACAGTATTGTCAGTAACTACCTGTGGGCTGTGTGGGTCAACTTTATTCAGTAATTACAAGACAACTGGACTCATCAGTTCTGGTTCAGGGGTTCCAGGATTATTGGTTATTATAACGATCCCAACAACAGACCCTTGACAGTCACATTAATCACTGACCCCCACACCCCTCCATCCTGGGGATAAGTCCAGCTGTCTTCTGATGACTGAACTGACAACTTTATTCAGTAACAACACTTACCTGATGTTAACCACAAGWCATACAATCCTGATGCTTTAAAACTGCACAGCGTGGGACAAAGACAGCCAGTAAAGAAGAGATGCTAATAGGTTTTAATGACATTTAGATGGTTGTTTGGGTCTGGGAGGAAACTTTTCACTTGTTATTTTAATAAATTATTTAGCTCCAGTGTTTCATTAAGCATGTTTAGTGTAATATTTCAGTGAGTTCAGACTGGTCATGACTAGTCAGTGAACAATATTCAGTATTTTGTTTCTTCCACTCATGAGTCACAGAAGTCTTATCATTTATATTTTGTGTGGGTGTCTAAAACATTTCTCAACTTAGTTTTTTATTTATTGTACAGCTGGAGCTACAGACAGAAATCCTCTGAGGCTACATCCAGGTCTAAAACCACATTTTCTTTTCTAAAGTATACCCTTGTTGAAAAAATTTGAAATATGTTGGCAGGTGCTGCTCAACCTAAAATACACTGTTAATTTAAAACACCACCACACAGATCAGTTGTTGTTGTTATTGGCCACCAACATGCGCAATTAAGACAGAAATTTTTATTTTTCTACTTGAATTTTTGAGTCTTTAACAGTTGCAGCTCAGTGAAACACAGGATTTAAATTTCAAACCTTAACKTTGGGTCATATTGTACAGATTTGACAAAAAAAAGGTATATAAGCTTGGTAATTTGGAAGTATTCAATTAATTTAAAAAGACTTTAAAACCTATTTCCAAAATGTATTTTTTTCTGATTTAAAGCTGAYGTTCCATCAACTGTACAAGAACATCAGTGAATTTACTCCCAGGCCACAGAACCATTTAAATCTCACACAAATTAAATAAAAAAAAACACATTTTCTAGGAAAATATGACTCGTGAAACAGAGAAGAAGGCAAAGCAGGCTGAAGGGAAATAAAATAAGTTGTAAAGGGTCAGAAGAACAGATGGAGGGGGATGAGAACACGGCAGGGGGGTCTCACACACACACACACACACCACTACACAGCATGCAGAAACTAAACATGAAGACAGGATCCATGGACTGGTTCAGAGAACAAACTTTTCCACCCTACCCAAGGAATTTTGTCCCTGGCGGGCCGAGTTGGAGGATTCTGCTAACCAGACTCTCTCCCTCATTAAGAGGTGGAGGGGCAGTGGGGAGGTGGAGTTTACTGTGTGGAGCATCCCAACGCAGCAGGGTGGAGGAAAGAGCACAAACTCAGCTGCTTGTTTTACTTTGGTCACTGTGCCCAAAGCTGGACAGACGTTAATACACAGGTACACATATATTCAAAACGTAAGAGCACAGAACAATACCATCTAAATAATCATCTAATTCATAATTACAGTTTTTATTTTGAACATTAAACTAAAATGTGATGCAGGTTGTTTCCCAGAGCTGCTGGGACATGAAGAGTTAAATCATTGAAGTAACCTCAGGACTTTTTGTCTTTAACCTTTTCATTTAGTCATGTTTGCTGTTGTTTAAAAAAAAAACAAAAAAACATGTGACTCAAGCAGAAACACTATAAATAACTTTTAGTTGTGATTTAATGTTCAGCCTAAAGAAAAACAGTCTTCCATCACAACAGTGAGACTGAGAGGAAACAGAGAGGCGCTCAGCTCAGACACTGAACACAAACATCATTTAAGGTGTTAAAGTTCAAACTTATTTGATGTCTTCCACTGTTCAAAACATCAGTGTTTGTCAGATTAGAGTATTTTGAACAGTAGGTTCTAAATA